AATACTCCTTCATTACATAAGCATTCCTATTTTTCTTAGCTATTTGAGAGCCAATTCTTGAAGAAATTGTCGTGTTCTTGAGCGTTTACTAGTTCACTCATATCTACTCTTTGTGAGAGTTTTATTCCTGAGTGTTTAAGTGTTTTCATACACTTTAAGGGAGGTTGTTCCCTTGTTGTAAACTCGAAGGAAATTACTTGTTCCTTCGTGAGAAGTCTTGGAGTGCGGTATCTCCGAGCAAAAGTGTTGAGGCTCGTGTGACTCGGGTTCTCAAGTTGTATCGGTTTGTTAAGCACCCTTAAGCTTAACGGAGTTAGTGTAGCTCGAGAGAGTCTCTTGGGGGGCTGGATTAGCCACACGTTGTGGTGAACTAGGATAAAACTCGGTGTGCTCCTTCCTTACGCTCTTTACTTTAACGCACTCGTTTTTAATTTCCTGCGATTTTATTTTAAACGCTATTCACCCCCCCTCTAGCGTTGGGCCTTTAACCGTTTGAGAGAAACGACCAATGGCTTCTACTCAAAGTTCATACGCAGGTTTAGGTGAAGGGCAATCCACCACGAGGCCTCCATTGTTTGACAGAACAAACTACACCTATTGGAAGGAACGGATGAGGATTTACATCCAATCCACCAACTTTCTCCGTTGGAGAATTATCAAAAATGGTGAGAACGTGTCAATGAAGAAGGTCGAGGAAACCAACGTCCCTAAGACCGAGGATGAATATGATGCGCAAGACATCAAGAAGGTGGAAAACAATGCCAAGGCCATCAACATCATCTATTGTGCCGTTAACCCGGATGACTACCGGAAGATTTCTTGTTGCACCACCGCAAAGGAAATGTGAGATAAACTAGAAATCACCTACGAAGGTACGGATCAAGTCCGCGAAGCTAAAATTGATTTTCTAACCCATGAATATGAATTGTTTCGTATGAAGGAAAACGAGAAAATCGTTGAGATGTTTGAACGATTCTCCAAAATCATCAATGATCTTCATGCTCTCAAGAAGACGTACACGGACAAGGAGCTTGTGAGAAAAATCCTGTGAAGTCTCACACCGGAGTGGCGCTCCAAAGCCGATGCCATTCAAGAGTCCATCGGCATCACCAACGTCACCATTGACGGACTTAGAGGTAACCTCAAAACCTATGAGTCCACCATTCTATTCCCCTCTTTAGGTGAACAAAAGAAGAAGGGGATTGTACTCAAGGCTACCTCAAGCCAAGAACCCGCCATTTAAGAATCAAGCGATGAGGACAACGAGTTCGGGCTCGTCATCAAAAAATTCCACAAGTTCATGCGAAAAGAGTATGAACGAAAGGGCAAAAAGCATGGAGGACCACCCAAGTGCTATGGGTGTGGAGAAGTTGGGCACATCAAGCCAAAATGCCCAAACGCCAAAAACGAGAAGGAGAAGAAACCGTTCAAGAAGCACCGAGCTTACATTTCATGGGGAGGTGATTCCGGCGATGAGTCATCGGAAGGCGAAGAAAATGAAAGCGCCAACCTCTGCCTCATGGCACACGAAGAACCATCAGGAGAGGTATGTACCACTTCTAAAGATTCCTATACTCTTGATGATGTACAAGAAGCCTTTAATGAACTTTATGATGAATATGTCAACGCTTCTAAAATTAACAAGGATTTGAAGAAACAACTTACTTCCATGGAAAAGGAAGTTGATAAACTATCAAAAGATAATGAAAAACTTAAAGAAGAAAATAAGTTTTTCGGAAAAAGAAGCGCCGACAAACCGGAAAGTTCAAAATGTAGTTCTTGTATATCACTTAAGGATCAAGTTGCAAAACTTGAAGGAACTTTGAAGAAGTTTGGTGTTTCTCATAAAAACCTTAATGATGTTCTTGATAATCTGCAACTTACTAAACATGGCTTAGGTTTTGAAAATGAA